TAAACCGCTGGTCCCAGAGAACGCCTCACTGTCTTAATAGGAAGGTTGGGCGGATTTTAATAATTTATTTGACCAAATTGTGAAAAGGTTGGGCGCATAAAATTCTTGTTCCAACTATCGCGTCTACTTCTTTTCTAAATGCGATGAGAGATTTATCGTCCACCTGACTGAGGGTTCTAATATTGCGATTTTGATTTAAGAAATTGGAACAAAGAGAGCTTATGACAACGAAGTTTGCCCTAGACTTTATTATGGACAAAACTAAACATTTGGCGTGTCCACCGGCGCTTCGGCCTCTCATGGCACAGCACGATCGATTTTCCAATAGCTGTGCGATACCGACTTTGGGAGCTAGGCAACGCGTCATCGAGCCGTCTGTCAACCAATCAAATTGGCCGACGAAAGTCAGCGAAAAAATGAGTCTCGAATGAGCGAATTTTGCTATTAGGGTTCTTACCTAAATGCAATGTCAAATTAACCGTCCACCTAACTGAGGCTTTAAATATTGGGAGTTTGATTTAAGGAATTGAGACCTAAAGAGATAATGACCACGAAGTTAGCTGTTGTAGACTTTGTATTAGGAAGATTGTAACATATGCACCCTGTTTTATGCTAGCCCCTAGTCGATGCTCTGGCCAAAAAGCAGATCACGCTTCTCGCACTGGACTGCATTCCCCGCATCAGTCGAGCACAGGCCTTTGATGTCCTCTCGAGCATGGCCAACATTGCAGGCTACAAGGCGGTAGTTGATGCGGCCGCGCTCTTCGGACGTTTCTTTGCCGGTAGGTACATCTTTTTTTTCGGCGGTTTCATTCAGTTTTTTAATTTACTTAGAAATTAATTTCTGATGGCGGCAAACATCGCTATATTTAAGGTCTATATGCATAGGCCGAAATTGTAAGTGTGCACTTGCAGATGCAAGTACATTGGCCGTAAGCAAAGACAATTGACAACCAGGGCTGCTGAACATTTGCCTGCTTGGCTTTTAAGACAAGAAGACAAAGTGCCACGGTCATCCATTACAAAACACTTGCTAGACAGTGGTCACACCGTTGACATCAACACATCTTTCCGAGTTCTTGTTCGAGCACGAACAAACCGGACCTTGCGTTACATGGAAGCAGCCTACATACGGCGGGACAAACACGACCTATGTAAGCAATTAGACCATGTGGTTAATCTTCAATTGCCCTAATAAATGCATGCCAACCTTTTATTCTATTTAATTCCCCTCCTTACTTTGGCATTACTATTGATCATTTGCCACGTTAAAATGACCTTGCTATTATCGATTCTGTGACAACTCAAAATGATATGTTCTCCAATTGTTTCGTTATTTATGCAAAGAGAGGAAGTAGTTGATATGTACAAATAAATTCTGCCGTTTTCGTTTGCTTCAAATATTTAAGGTTCATAGACAGACCGAAATTTTTATTGTGTATTTGGGCTGTACACATGTCAACACCTAGTGAGATGTTACCGCCCTCTGCCAAATTTTATGAATCCCTGTCCGTTTAACGCGATCGGCTCTTGTCTCCAGTTCTTTACCCCTGTGACTGACGCTTGATTATGTCGTTCGGCTACGTCTAGGCTGGTCTCCATGCGTCAGTTGAGCGAGCATCTATTCCACGGCTCGCTATTGCAGTCTGTCTGTCTGTCTGTCTGTTTTGAAGCATATTTTCCTCGGTACGAATTTAAAACAGGCAACTGCAGCAGGATTTGTTGGATCGGGACGGCTTTTCAAATGCAACCCCGTCTTTGCATGAGTTAAATGACGAACGGAAGCATACCGCAGTTTAAGTATTCACGGAATATTAATACATAACAGCCAGGGTCATAGTTCACTGCAAACGATGATCAGCTGAAGGACACAACCTTAAAACCGCACATAAGCCTTAGTAATCCGGTGCCCAAAGTTTAATCAAGACTGCGACTTGTTTTACCTTCCTATTCCCCCTTTTTATTTCTGTATGCTGGTTTAAGGTAGTGTCCTTCATCTGATCCATTGTCCGAGCCGGTCAGCCATCTGGTGTTGTGTGCGTATCGTAGCCTATGTCGGATTAGAAGTCCCCACGGCAATCCAAATTGGTTGTAGTTGCAAGACGGAGAAAAGCCGCGACCTCAACTGGCTTGAGTCAAAGGTCCACAGGGGTGAGTTGGGTGCTTAGCCGGGAACTGCAGGCACAAAGATGCTGACAGTCATGCAGAGAGACGCTGCAATCGGGACAGCTGTCGGATGTGAACGGATCGAGCCGGTGTTGGTACTGACGAGTGAGTACGGAGTAGCCACTGCGTAGAGTTCTCGTTCCAAGACCGCAATCGGAGGTGGATAGTCACCTAAAAGTCACGTGGGCTGGTAGCTGAGTTTTGCGTCGACAAGGGGTTTCTGATGAAGAGGCTGGAAGCCTTTGATGATGACAGAACCGCTAACGGGTAGATCTGAGAGACATGAGGCGACAGCCCTACTTGTGGAGAGCTCTAATAGACGGACGAACGCTGCAGCGGGGTTCAGGAGCGTGGCAACGGTGGTGATTAGGAGGGCCGAATTGCGAAAAGGTCCATCAAAAATGGTGGCCTAAGAGCGCGCTATGAGGGACGACCGGCAGGACTGAGCCCTCCACATGTAGATTATCGATAGGTGCCATTTTATAGCAACCCGTAATTGAGCGGCGGATGGCGTTCTGTGCTGACTGAATGTTGCAGAGGCTGGAAGAGCTGATCATAGGAGACCAGATTGGTGCCACGTAGGATTTGGTGTTGTGTCAGGATCGGCCACTCGGTTGGGGAATTGCACCATAAGTTCAGTAATCTTATTCAATGAAATATAGCGCTATCT